AAAAAAGCCAATTAATTTAAACTTATTAAAAGTAACAAGGGAACATTTTAGGTGTGATATATTTTAGGTAAGAAATTCAATTTTCAATAGATAATGTTATTCCACTTTCCTATTTTTAAGGAAATAAAATGGTTTTTGTATTACACCAACGCCAACAAAAAAAAGTTTCAAATTCAAGTTGTTTAAAATGGATTAATTTTTTAAAAATGAAAAAAAACACGACAAACATAAGCAAGTTTAGCAAAAAATAATCAGCAAAATATAATTATCATCAACTTAAATATTCTTTGCACAGCCCTAACAATTTGATTATAACAATTTGAAAATTTCTCTGCTATAAAGTTATACCCTGTATTTTATTTATATAGGGTTATAGACAACAGCATGACTATTTATTTCGGTCTCAGTACAGCTGTGAAAAACGCAACTCAACAAGTTCATCTATGCCTTGTTTTGTCAAGTAAGTAATAAATCTTTAGTGAAAAACTCACAATGCTCCTCAAACTGTCACAAACTGAATTGTAAAGGGGAGCAAACTCAGCAGCCTCAAGGCTGATTTACCATTCTCAATATTTTCTGACAAATGAAGGACTGAAAACAAAGAACATTTCAGCACACCTGGAAATATTTATTTACTGTATTTGGCATTTAAAAAATAGCCTGCAGATTCCTTTGGAAATTCAGATACCTTTATAAATGTCAGCTATAAAATCAATAAATAAAAGCATGCAGAGGCAAATTTGCCACAATTCAGTCAAGGCCACATACAGTAACTATTTAATGTGAGGTTCATAAAAAGTCTTTTATCAAAAATTAAAAGCTAATAATTTAATAAACCTAAGAGATGGACACATTTTTAAGTAACTGTTTAATAATGTCCAAATGTTGTCCTTAAATTTTAAGTAAGGCAAGTTTTAACTATTTTCTTAACTGTGACGTATTTTTAATTAGAATAAATTGCTTAATTCAATTACCATGGTGAAAAAGTATGTTTCCAGTCCCCATTCAAGGTACCAGATTTAAAAGTTAAGTTGGACCTAACCAAAAACAAACCTAATCTATATTCATACCATGGGGAGCCTAGAAGTAGGAATATTTTCTGTTTGGATACCCCAGCAAACATCTCTAGATACTGACAGTATTAACAAAGTTACAGATAATTTTATTTCTATGATTGTTTTTTAGTCTTATCATCTGTAAAATGGTTAGCTAACATCTTGTCTAAGCAAACTCCATTACATATGTAATGTGCAGAATACCACCTTACTGTAGTTGCCAAAATTGTGGAAACCTTTTGGGAAAAGTGTATTTTTGAGGTTTGATGGCTAATAATACCACTTTTTTTTGGAGTAGTACCATAAAATTATATATCAATGGAAAGACAATTTAATCAAGAATGTAATGCAACAAAGTTTGTTCAATTATCTGTACTGTATTCTATGAAAAGTTATAGCCAAATAACCAGAAAAAGGAAGCACAACTTGCTTAGGTTGATATCAGGTAGCTTTCCTTCATCTGATTGTAGCCAATGAGCATGAGTGTTTAGAGAGCCAATCAGGTGTCACCTTGTTTTGGCAATGAGCCAATCAGATTACAGTAGGATTCAGTTATTGATGTCATGTATTGAACTTGAGAGGAGGACATTTGTCAGTGGGTTATGTGATCGCTATCAAGTTGGTTGGGATTTTTTTGTGTTCTTTCATTTAGTGAGCTTGTAAAACGTAATAAAATTAAAGTAATGGTGCAAAGAGTTGACTGGTTCCCCAGAAAGCAATGTAAAATAGTATTATTAAGTGAACAAGGCTACAGTTATAAAGAAATTAGAAGAAAAATTGGTGGAAACTTAACCAAAGGTGGCATTTCTACTGTATACTTTTCCCAAAAGGTTTCACAATTTTGGCCACTACTGTATCTATCCTGAATCTATAGTCCTGAACACAAAAATAAAGCATTCTATTACATCTTTTCAAAATATAACAACCAGTATTGTATGCTGTTTTCCACATGGAGATATACCATAAATGTTAGCAGGTTTGCATTTAATCCCTTTCCTATCATGGATTTTTCCCCCCTAGCTGTTGCAAACTGAATCATTATCTTCACTGAACTATCCACTATCACCAAATATTCTTTTAAGTAGCTAAGAACAGCTCACCCTCTAATATTATATGTGAAGTGAAACCTTTAGCCCTGATATGCAACATTTTATTTTTCTGATGATCACTGATTATTCGCTCTGTTTAAAGCAGTCCTTCTATAGCCTTACAATCACTTTTGATTTTCACTAGTTTGATAAGTTTACTGTGATTATCTTCTGCATATCTCCTGCAATGACTGATGTAAACAATTCATCAACCTCTCTACAATCTGCCTTGTAGATTGTTATTTGATAATTGACAATATGTTTATTATGTAAAGCTAATAAACTTGCTTTAAACTTAGGAAAGCTACTTGCTTAATTAATCTCACTCCAACTAAAAAGGCAAAAATAGACTTTCATTTTGCCACTTTGGCAGAAATGTCTTTTGTATAAGCATATACAGCTAGTCCTTGACATGGTAATGGGCCTAGAGTTTCCATTGCCAAGGGATGTGATCATAAGGTGCAATGTCCTGTGACAGCATCAGTGATGTCAATTCTGGTTATCCCCAATGCTGTCATTAAGCGAAGATTGCGAGTCGTTAAGCAAATTCCAGGTAGTTCCCAAACAGGTTTGTAGGCATGTAAGGCATGGTATATAGCGCATAGCAAAAAAGTGGCAGGTCAGAGGTAGCTGCTGCCAGGTGGGAGAGAGTGTGACTGGCCCATAGGCACAGAGAGAGCACGATAGGGCAGAGGAGTAGCTGCTGCCCAGTGGGAGAGAGTGTGAGCAACTAATTGGAGCAACCTTCCCTGCCATAAAATTTGCTTTTTCTGTTTGCTTCTGCTTTTTTAAGATAAGCCTAGTCTTGTTACCTTTAGATCTCTCATAACCAGAATTCAAGAAAATATTTTAAAGTTATCTATACAAGCTGTATCTTTGGAATGGGAGGGTGAGCAGATAATGCTTTTCTCAATCCCGGGCCCTGTCCTGATCCAGTGTCTGGAGGCTACGTGGCTCTAGATGGAGAACTTCAGACTGAAGCTCACTGTGACATAACTGAATGGAAGTGGTTATTTCCCTTGCCCTGACTCCAATATCAGGATTTTATATTCTTGGTCTGGGTGGGGATACACCAGTGGTGGGATTCAAATATGTGAACAACCGGTTCTCTGTGTGGATGCCACTTCCGGAAGTCCATTCTGGGCCTGGGCAACAAAAAATTAGCTACCAGTTCTACCGAACTGGTGCAAACTGACTGAATCCCACCACTAGGATACACTATTCCATGCAAGACTGGTAGACAGTCATAAATAAATATACCAAAATTAAATATGGTATAAAATATTAAGTACCAGAGTGCATATTTATGACATACTTATTTAAATGTACTTCTACTAAGTGAAAATATTATCATTTTATTGGGAAAACAGGAGGTGTCTGAAAATTGCTTCCTCAATAATATTGGCGGTAATAGCAGAGGTAGTGGTGGAAGCATAACACAAACATTGGAGGCTCGGTAGGTGGATAAAGCTGATAGAAGTGAAATCTGAAAACCTATCTTGAACCACTAATTCCACCTTCCTTTACAAGTCCCAATTTCCCTGATGGAACTAGTAAGTGCCATATCTGGCAACCACTGCCTCACACCTAATATCAGATTATAAGTCACCTGAGAAAACTCATTTTTAAAGATAAATGATCAATATATTGAATGATCATTTGGTCATTTTGATAATATTGGAATTATTGTAATGTGTTTTTCTGAGCACTCTTTAGAGTTATCTGGTTGACATCAGGTAAAAGCATTTATTTATTTATTTATTTATTTAATTAAATTTATATACCGCCCTATTTAAAAAACAAATAATTTTTCTTAAGGAAATGATGGGAGGTTTATGCTTCATTTATATTTACATTTTTTCAAATCGTAAAACCAAAACATAGTATTCATTAACACATGCTAAGGAAACTTACAACTTCAGAAACTATGGGGTACCATCAGAGACCGCAAAATATCACTTCATTCTCAGCCCTTATTCTTTAGATATAATAGCTAGTGTGCTGGACAGTTTTCACTCAGAACTATACAATTCCTTAGCTACACATAACTTACTTCCTTTTGAGAAACAATCATGGAGCTATACAGCTTCCTTTGTTCTAGTCTGCCATGACAAATACAGGCCATGGAACTTCTTGGTGATGGCAAGAAAACCAGGAAATTTTAGCCTAGTGAATTTCTATTTTTCTCATAGGCAGAGTCAGTTTGGTCTAGTGGTTAAGGCAGTGGGCTAGAAAGCAGGAGACCCCAAGTTCAAATCTCTCCTTAGGCATGAAAGCCATTTGGATGAGTTTGGGCCAAGTCATCTCACAGGGTTGTTGTGGGGAAAATAGGGGGAGGAAGATGTGTTGGATATGTTCACTGCTTTGAGTTATTACAAAAATAATAAAAGCAGGATACAAATAAATACATTCCATTCAATGATGACTAAAGAGTGATCTTCACAGAAAGAGTTGAAGCTGGCAGCTTTTTAAATGATAATAAAAAAAATTCAAAGTTTAAAGAAGGAATATCTCACTGGTAGAATGTAACTTTACTTGTAAGAAAATATTTTCTTTTTTTTCTTCTCATCAGTAGCAAGTTAGGTTCAGCTTAATCTGTTGCTTTTGAAATATAGTAAGTCTGGGACACAGTTCAAAACTTCAGAAGAACAGGTGAAAAGGTGGAATAAACTTAACCGTAAAAAGACCATATGGATAAATGCAGCAGATCAATAATCAATTAAAACATCAACCATGACTTGGCTTCTGTTTTAAAATCATGAATTTTAATAAAAATTTAAATTCTCCACTGCCTGTAATCTTAACAAAGTCAGATGATCATAATTATTTGGCACAAAAGCAGTAACAAGAGACTTACCTTGTCTATCATATCTGGCCGGTTTGTAGCTGCCAAAACTGTCACATCCTTTAACTGTTCGATCCCATCCATTTCAGTCAACAATTGTGCCAAGACACGGTTCATAACATTTGCAGAACTTGAAGAACTAATAAAAAAGAAACCCACAGCAGTTTATAGTAAAGCATTTGATGCTAGAAATCTGTAAATTCTGTTCAGGTCCATTTGCTCAAAGTTCAGACTGAAAGTTCTTTGGAGCAAAGGTACCAGTTACATTACTTAATTACATTACTTAAAAATAATAATATACTTTGATAATGCTGGGATTCACTAACTTTTTCTCAAAACTTTATGACCCAAGGAAAAAAGGAAGAAAAATAAAAAATCTATCTTTCTAATCCAAAAGACAACACAAGAGGAAAGGTTTTGCAGCAAAAATTGCTTTAGCACTGTTTTTCAAACTTGGGATGCTACATCACAACACAGAAGTGTTTTGTTCAACCTTTAAGTTCAGCATTTTTTCAAAACTAAACGACAGCATACTAGGCATCTTAAAGCTATGCTTCCTTACTGTCAAAAATGCTTCTCTGAATCTTTACTTTGATTTTATTTTCAAAGCCTGACATACCATGAAGACATGGTAGACAACCCTCTGGTTCCTTCAACCTCTGAAATAGAAAGCTATCATTTGTTTTTAAAATGAAATTGTTATTACCAAAATTGAGGACTAATTGTGTGTACGCTCAAATACGCAAGGGCTGAAACAGGGAGTGGAATCATTTCGGTCCTCTAAAATCCCCAGTCAATATGCTACAAATATTTCACAAACATCCTTACGTAGACCTCTTATATTTCTGACTAAAGTATTTGCAAACATTATATAATAGAATGGCTTGTTTAAAGCTTTATTTCTCAGACCTCCTTATTGCAAAGTAGTGAATTATAGTACACTTCTAAAGTTTCATTTGCAAATTCACATTCCACAGATAAAAAAGCTAAGTGGTTTAGCCTGTAGTCTTCTTTCACCTTCTGGTATTGCTATAATAAAATGCTTTCAGTATTTTTTCAGTTGACTGTGTAAAATAAAACTGCAAGGCACTGATACCTCGTTAAAAATTACAAACTTCTTTATTATACTTGTTTTATCAATTTCTTTTAATAATGGAAATAGGAATATTAATAACCTTTTCCAAAAATAAATGTCAACCTTTCCTTCAGGTGCAAGATTTCACAAGAAACATTTTGAGAAAGAAAAAATGAAAAAATTTAATGGAGAAGACCATATACACTTGGGTCCTGGTTTCTGCTTTCCTTGGATTAAGAGCTCAATTATTGTGATGTTCTACCTATCCCAAACTTTCCTGTTTAGGTACAATTATTCTAGGACCAGTAATTATATCACATAAAGTAAAATTGCCAAGTCAAGTTCAACTCCTAATGACCTCATAGATACATCCATGTAGGTTCTTGCTAACAATACTGAAATGTTTGGGGAATGTTCTTAATTATTGTGATTTGCTTTTTTCTTCCTTGTTTAGCTACAGTCCTGGTGGTCTCCCATTTACATACAAGAATACATACATTTGCTATTCTAGAACAACAATTCAGTTTTCTATCCTGCTCAAATATTTCTCATAAATACTGCTTCTCAATGGCACCAGCAAATCTCACTAGACTTGGACAATACTGACATATATACAAATATATGAGTGCATGTGGATGTGGATGTGTTTGGATGTATATACACACAAATACATATATATGGAAAGCATGTTGTCATATTTTGATGCATGATCGATATTATAGCTTTGGTTATATTTCTCATACAATGTATAATGTCCCCATTAGATCCCCTCCCTTCCATTCAGTTGTATCTGATCCTTGCAAACTGTCTGGACAAATCCCTGAAGTTTTCTCAGAAAAGTTTTTTTCAGAAATGGTTTGCCATTGCCTACTTCTTTGGGCTGAAAGTGACTAACCCAAGGTCACCCAACTTTGTGCTTAAGGTGGGACTAGAACTCACAGCCTCACAGTTTCTAGTCTTATGTCTTAACCATAACACCAACCTGGCTCTTCTTATATATACTTTACAGATATGGTAGATACTTGGATCTATCAAGACACAATAAAATTAACTCTTTTCACCCAACCATAGCGTAGGGTGCTTAAGTCATTGAAAAATTTATAAAATAACTTGTTTAAGCAAAATAATAAAACAGCTATTGCAATTTTAGGAAGAAATGAAAGTAGGCAATAGTTTAATTCCTATTACCATTGCAGATTAATATAGATTGAGCCTATGGTAGATTACTGTAGCTTTTATACCAATATTAATAAAGTTTACAGCTTTACAATTTGAGTTTATGCAGCAATAATCTTAAGATGCAATTCTATCAAAAAAGATTCTTAAATTCATTATTCCAAAGTAAGCTCAGTGTGGTATATGTCTCTGGTTTTCAAATGCCATACATATTTAACACACTTATGAAATGGAGAATTAAGTAATCAACTCCAAACCTGAATGGTTTCCTTATTTTCCCAGTTGGCACTATTTACATGGATAACCTGATACAAAAAAAAAGGTCTGGAAGAATTCAGCAAAGGATTCCCTCCAAAAGCTCTCTTGAACAACTGTTAAATGGAGCTGAAAATTTTGAACAGGTGGATGTAGGAAAAGGAGCAAAAAGACAAACACTTAGTCACAGAATTTAGTATTCAGATACATGTCAAAATTCTCAACTGGAGCCAAATTAACGAAGATTATAGAAAAAGCAATGAAAATTTAAACTAAGTAAAATAAAAATGATTTATTTTTTCTTGTTCATGGGTCAAGATCCTAAAATGCTATGTTACATGTATGATTTTAATTATATTCTATTTAACGTTTCATTAGCTTTGCCTCAAGGAGCTATCTTATAATCCTTGGCTCTGCAAGGCTATTACTACTGAAATCAAAATAAATTTCTTTATGTTCTTCCAAGCTGCTGTGATTCCCTTTAGGCAGGGAAGTCAGCTGTCTGATTACACACCATATTTAGCATGACTCCTACAAGTAAACAAGCCTTTATGGCTTAACAGGATATCCTATAAAAATGCAGACAGACAGACATTTATAACAGGAGATTTCTCCACCAGCTGCTTCAGAACTGCGTCAGCAGCATGCGTGTTCAGATGTTTGAGCTCTGCATAAACTGTTAATCTTCAAGATAAGATAGAAGCACATTTTTTCCATTTTCCCATGATTTCCTAGCAAGATTTTCAAATTAAGTTAGTCAATGCTTATTAAACATGCCTGGCTTTTTGACACAAACATAAGCAAAGATCCAAATTATGTTGAACTTTCCAGTCTAATTTGTATGGTTGCAGTATGCAACCGATCCGTGTTATTTCCTCCTGTACCAAGCCTATGAAATTTTGATGTCATTATCCAAGCAAAATAGAAATAGCAATTGTGCAGACACTGACACAAAATAATTTTCTATCAACAAACTGATTATGTCACAAACCAGCATTTATGCAAAATCCAAACATCCTCATAGAACACTCCAAGGAAAACAGTTAAAAAACTTAGGAAACAGTAATAATAAAAAATCCTTTAAAGTTCGCAGATACAGAACTTGTATTATACACATTAGAAAACTACAACACTATATTACTTTTCAGCATAATCTCCATTCAAATTGAGGCACTTGTCATAATGTCTTACAAGGTTTGAAATTCCTTAGTAGTAGTAGTTGCTCGGCACCAAATCTGGCCTATAGGGGGGTGATCAAAAATATCCCAACGGAACTGCTTCAAAACTTCTTGGGTGCATCTAGCGGTGTGTGGGCGAGCATTATCATGACCCAACACCACACCGGAAGTCAGCATGCCCCAACGCTTGTTATGGATGGCTCATCTGAGTTTTTGTAACATTTCACAGTAGACATCTGAATTGATGGTCAAACCACACCTCATGAACTTCACTAGCAGTACTCCTTTGGCATCTTCACATTTGGCGGGATTTTCTATGGTACCACTTCCGATGTGGTGTTGGTTCACAATAATGCTCACCCACACACCACTAGACGCACCCAAGAACTTTTGAAGGAGTTCCGTTGGGATGTTTTTCATCACGCCCCCCCCCCCATAGCCCAGATTTGGCACCAAGCGACTACTACTAAGGAATTTCAAACCTTGTAAGATGTTATGACAAGTGCTTCAATTTGAATGGCGATTATGTTAAAAAGTAACGTAATGTTGTAGTTTTCTAATGTGTATAATAAAAGTTCTGTATCTGCAAGTGTCTGTCATAGATAACCAAATGGAGGTTTATTTCCGAATTGCCCTCATAGGTAGAGTTACATAATTTTATGCAAAAACCTAGCTCTTGAAGAGGCAATCTCCAGAAAGGTGAAAGGATTCAGTTACAGTGGCAGGGAAAGCACTGTTGGAAGACTAAGTTATGGATAGATCATTATGGACAAAATCTATCTATGTGGATACTAGAAGAGGAAAACAACTGGATGGCAAATAATCCAGCAAAATCACATGATTTTATTTTTTCATTGTGCCATTTTATCATACCAGAAGAAAGCATAAAACTGTTGCTTTTGGCTTAAAATGGAAATGAGAATCCTTATATAACTTCAGGTCTTTAATAATGTACAGCAAAGAGCTGGATTTTTCAGAATGGAATTTAATAAGAGTTCTCTCCAAGCTCCTGCTCAAAACTGCTTATAAAAAAACACAAAAGAACAAACATGTCTAATGCTGAAACTCCCCACAATTATACATATATAAACAGCATCCTATTTCCAAAGGACATATATATCCTAACTTCAGCAAACAGACTGTCTGAACAGCATTTACACAGAGCCAGGCTCATTCATCACCTTCAAGTTTAATTACGAAGTCATTTCCTCTTGGCAGCCTTTACTGGTCAGTGGAATTAAGTTTTACATGGTCAGGATAACAAGGAATTAGAAGTATACCCATAATTCTCTTCAGCTGTACAATTTGTTAAGATCTGAAGCTTTGAAAAGGGAAGGATTTTTTTTTAGAAACAAACATTCCTTCTCGCATACAGTTGCATCTGGAACATTTATGTGGACATGATCTCAAGGGAGACTTTTATTCTGCAATTAAGTTGTGAAAATACTGCTAAGG